ACAATTAACAAACAAAAACTTGTCTCGAAAATAAACGTCCAAAACCACCCTCTTTTGGAGTTTCCGGACTGAACTTACACTTAATATTCAACAAATATGCATAAGATCATTATTATGTGTAGAGACTTTAATGACCCTACGAACAAACAATGAATAATAAGACATTTTTTGTGACAGTGCGTGACACAATCTTGCGTGCGGCGGCATGGCAACTGAGAACGACTCCTTCCTTTATTTCCTATCCCCGTCATGCCAAACATGCTCGCCCTTTCAGCCGTGGGGGCGTTATAATGTGACGGTCAATCCCACTATTCCTTGGTAAAAGAGTAGCCCAAGAGATGGCGGTGGGTGGTGATGACTAGCTGCCTTACCTCAGGTCTTACACTGCTAAATTAGGGACGGCTAGCGCAGATAGCCTTCGTGTAGCTTTGCGCGAAATTAAAAAAACAAACAAACTTTATTTCCATGTATGCACCATCATTTAGAAGTTTAAGTATAGATTAAGAACGACGTGGCAACCAAGTAGACTATGGAAGACGAAAAAGAGGAGTGTCGATCTTTCAACAAACATAGAAGCCTACACAGAAGACAACTTAATTTTTTGTATTTTTTAACGAAATACAAAAAATACCATGTGGGACCTAATAGTATAAAGGCGAAGTGTATTTTAAAAAACAATAGAGTCAAATTTATCATTATACAAACGCAGTTAAAAGTTCTTAGAAATATCATTAAGGACAAAAGAAGTGAAACTGCAAAAACTAAAGCAAAATTGTACCGTCTAAACTTAAAACTAACTATGAATATACATAAGTTGTTATGGAATACATTTGAAGTATCAAGTTAGTGGAAATGGGAACAGATGATTGAAACATAAGAATAATTTGAAAAAGAAACTAAATAATTTAATTAATAAAGATGTACATGTATGTCCTGATAATAAATTAGAAAATATGAATATTGCACTAAATGAAAAGTATACTAAACTGCTGAATAATCTTAAAATAAAAAAACGTATCCAAGAAAAATATCACACCAGAACAAATAAATGTTCTTGAGCTTGGTTTGAATTTTTTTTGTAAATAACAGCATGTCAATGAAAGAAGATCTAATTACGTCAGTTGAAACTAGTTTGAAATAACTTAAGAGTTGAAAATAATATTACAAAGGATACTGTTCGAACGATTGTAGCTACATTACTTATTTCTCATACCAAAAAGTCAAATAGTAACTAGTATATTCATGAGATAACCCAACTTCTACTAATAAAATAAAAAATAATAATAACAT